TTGACATTCTCTTCTCATGCGCTGAGCAGTAAATAAGTTAAAGGATGCAGTAAGAGGTGAGCTTAATGTGTAGAACAAAGAAGGTCATTCGTTGCCCCTTGGAGGGAAATGTGGTAGATAAATGCTGTAATTGTGATTCTCAGTTGTTCATTTGGCTTGTCGTCGTTCTGAATTATGAAATAACCATAAGGAAGATCTTACAGCTTTAAAAGCCAATAATCTGTTCTGCTGATCACACACGAGAGTGGGAAACAGAAATACACCCAATTCCTGAAAGGAAAAAACTTCTCCCAGGATGAAATCACTGGGAGGCCACAAGACAGGGAAATGCCCTTTGCTTCAGTTCATCCTCTCATCTTTCCAAAGTATTACAACCGAAAGGGAATGGCTGGATAAGGAACGGCACATAGCCGTGTAACTACAGAAAATGCGTATCGAGAAAAAACTGAATGAATGCATTTCTAATTTTGTTTGCACCAAAATAAATTAGGATTTCAATTTCATTTTTTCATGAACTTTTTGAAGCCCCCTTGTAAACCACAGTATGTCCCATTTCACTGACTATGAAAAATCAAATTAGGGCCACCTCGGGATGGTAGAAACCCTCTCCACCCTCTGGACTCCTACCTTGCTGTGTCGCTGACAGCTGCCGGACCAACACACAGGGCTGATCAGGAGGCCAGCGTCTCTCCAGATAGTAAATGTTAGTGCAGCCCATTTTCCAAATTGTGCGAGGAAAATAATAAAAATCAAATGTTTACTATTCTCTCTCTCTCTCGCTCTCTCTCTTTCTCTCTCATTTTAGATTTTTCACTGGAGAGAGAGACAGAGGCAAAATGAGAAACCATCCCCGAGAGGGACAGCCATGCTGCAATCCCTTGTCCTTTATTCTCCTCTCAGGACTCTGCGCACATATGCACATGTGCCCAGCTGCAGAGTCTGGGACTCGAATCACCATCAGCCACATGGGAATCCAGAGCTTTAACCACCACGCCACCTGCTGGCCCCAACTTCCTAAATTTCTTTTAAGCTGTTTAGTTATTGTCCTTTTCAAGCTGTATCCTTGCTGGAGAAGGCAGCTCTCTGTTATTCTCTCTCTAAATCAGTAATGTTCTTCATTATGAAGTTTGTTTTCTGAACTGTTTTGATCACATTTGAAAGATCTAGAAACAGCTTGCAGAGGTTTCAGGTAATGCAAATCACAGTTCTTCCTAAAAAATACCTTTCCGTTTTTTTTTTAACCCATTCCAGCTTTTGATAAATATATAAATCTCATACTTGAGATTCTTATATGTGCCCTTTGGAAACACAATGATAACAAATACAGCTTCTGTCTTCTAGCCAAAAGGGTGGGGCTCTACTTTCTGTAGTTAATTTTTTTTAAATGCATTTCATTTACTAAACAGTAAATGATGATATTCTGCATAACTTTCCAAGTAACATCTGTCTTCCCTTTCTCCTCTCTCATATTCCGATGCTTGTCCCCTGAATGCACCCCACCCCCCACTTAAGGACCACTGACTTAAGAAAAATAGTTTTCCTGTTATCTCAACTCCCCAGCTCTCCACATGCTCTGCATTAAATGTCTGCATATCTGTGTCTTACTATTGTTTTAACATTTGGGCCTCTGCCTGGGGAGTGGGTGGTTCACTTTCAGTCTCTGCTCAGGTCTCAGCAGAGAAGGCAATATTTTGTTATGAGGTCGAGTTTCAAGCCAAGCTTTGGCCAGGGTCTTTCCCAGTTGGGAGGAGCAAACTAGGAACAGCCAGTGACACGATAATTCTCCTTGCATTTTAGCTCATTAAAATCTTCCCTCGTTCTCAGTGGATTCTTTATTGATTTAAGCATCTAGCACGTTTCCTTTCCAGAAAGAATTAGCATCTACGATGCAATCACTGCTGAGGGTATTAACCCCCACCCCGCCCCACAGACTCTCACACACACATACACACACACACACACAACCCTTTGCTTATTAGCACAGCCCAATTTAGAGGTGTAGAGAGGTTCAGCGTGGTGGGGTCCGGGACTTGTAGGTAATGAAAAGAACAGGTTGTATCAAAGATAACATGAGTATTAGACTAAGTGTCCACAGGGGACTCGTGTGAACCTGTGATCCTTGGCTTTCTGCAGAACGATCATTTCAGGCTTGTTCGTATTAACCTCCTTTTTATGGATGTTTGTCTGAACGTGTTCTGGTTTTGGCTGCTCTGCTATTGCACACAGCAATCTGGCAAAATGGCATTTCTTTTCTGCTGATCTGCAAGTGGCTTTGAACGTTTGTATTTCTTTTGAGGATTACTGGGTTCAGTGTATGATGGTAGTGTATGTAAATGAAGAAATGTATTTTTTAGACAGGTGTTTAAAATCTTCTTCTCGCCAGAACACTTTTCCCACCTAAATATAACATCCTCTGGTGGTTTAGCTGCTTTTTTTTTTTTTTGGAGAGGTATTGCATGCATGTGCCAGAAAGACAGACAGAGAGAGACAGAAAGCGAGAAATCACCCCCCAGGGGGGATGGTCACGCCACAATCCCTTCTCCTCCATTCTCCTCTTGGGATCTTGGGCATGCACACACACGTACCTGGTGTGAGTTTAAGCCACCGGGTCCAGGGACTCGAACCGTGGTTGACTACATGGGAGTCCAGTGACATAGCCATTACGCTACCTGCTGGTCCCTCGTGTGTAGTTTAAGCGACTGGGTGGCTGGGGATGCTGGCCGCAGCCGTCTCCCTGCAGGTCAGCAGTGCCCAGGGCCCTGGAGCATAGCAGCAGAATGGCTACTGGGGCAACTGTTTCAGTAGGGGTTTCTCTTTTCTTTTCTTTCTTTTTTTAAATTTTTTTTTTATTTTTTTTTAATTTTTGCTAGAGGGTCTTTGCACTTGCCAGAGAGAGAGAGAGAGAGAGAAAGGGAGAGGAGAAAGCCGCTCTCCCGTGCCATGAGGATGGTCACATTGCAGTCCCTTCTCCATCTTTTCCTCCTTTCAAGATTTTGAGCACACGCATCCAGCATGTTTCTCAGGGCACCAGATCTTGGGCTCCAACTGCATGGTTTGCCATGTGGGATCTGGCTGGCTTACACACTAGGCCACAGAGCTGGTCCCTCTTTGCTTTTTAATGTAATTAATACAGTCGGTTCGGTGCAGCAGCATTTCACTGTGCTCTTCCGCCTCTGTAATGAGATGCTGAAAGGCAGTGAACACTGGCTCGTGGAGTACGTAACGCATGGCAGCATTTCCCGTTGGCAGGATCCAGTTACTGCCATGCGCCTCCTCTCCCAGGAGAGCTGGTCGCGGCTCTCCAGCTTGGCTGTTGGTCCGTTAACCAGGTCGTACTGTAATGGATTCTACCCTCCTTATTACTCTCTTTTGCCCTAAGGTTCCTAAGAGACACTGTTAGGAACTCCTGCTGCTGCCTCCTCTTGTCCACATAGTGGAACATTTCAGGCTGAAGGTCGGGCCTGTTGCTCCTTGAGCTCTTCAGTGATTGGCCTGTCTGAGAACGGACAAGGACATGCAGGTCATGCTCATGTGCTGGCTGGGTGGTTTGGTGGTGGTGGTAGTGGCAGTAGGGCCGCTTGGGGGGTTTGTCTTCTGCTTCTCTGGCTGTTTGAGCCTAGAGACTCTGCAGTCGGTTGCAGGGCTGTGAAGTCCCCAGAAAAACCAGTGGAGGAAGGACTGTCAGTGTTGGAAAGTGCAGTTAGGCAGCCTCCCTTTTCCCCCTACCTCATAGAATATCTCCAAGACAGAGTACTCTAAGAGAACCAAGACGTGCCGCAGAATCACTGAAACTCTGAGCCTCGGTTTCCTGGTTTATGAGCACAGTGATTTAAACTCACACATTTGGGATAGTCATTGAGATAGTACTTATAGCATACATCTGGCCATGCAAGTAGAGCTCTTTTTCTCCACAATCTAATATTTCTTGTTCAACTCCCCCCTCCACATATGGGTCTAGTGTAAAACCTTCAGTTTCCTATTGGTACCCAGACAGATGGTCATCCTTTGGTTAAGATCAGAGCCAACCTTTTACCCTACTTCTATTTTTATTTTTATTTTATTTATTTGCTTTTAAGGTTTTTGTCATAGGGTGTTTGCATGCAGCAGAGAGAGAGAAACAATGAGAGAGAAAACGAAATATCATCTCCCCCACCAGAGGAGGTAGCCATGCTGCAATCCCTTCTTCTCCATTCCCCTCTTGGGATTTTAGGTATGTGCGTATACATGCCCAGTGTGATTTTCAAACCACCAGCTCTAGGACTTGAACTGCAGTAGACCATGTGGGAGTCCAGTGCCTTAACCACTATACCACCTGCTGCCCCCCCCCAACCTTCCTACTAGACAAGATCCTCTAGTACCGTATTACCAAATAGGCAGAGGATGGATTCATGAATATATTTTGTAGGAAGGTTGCATTCTCTCCTTTCTCAGAACAATAACAACAGAAAGGGCAGTTAGACAGGAGACTAGCCAGGGCCTCAAGGAAAATAAGATTTCTTCTCAAGTTCCTGAAAACCCTTCCATGGATATAGTACAAGTTCCACATGGGTCTAGTTTTGATGGTGCTGTTGTGTAGCCAGGGGCCCATGGTCTGGTCAGACTTCCGTGCAGCCCGTTTTCCCTCTGAGCACCACCAACCGGGATGCCATCAGCCGTGGATATCCTGTGGGTCTCCACATGCCCCATCCTTTTTCTTCATATTGTGGTTTGTGGTGAAAATATGTACACATATTCTGGACTCAGTGTACATGCCAAAGTGACTACCCCCAAAAAATTGTTTAAGTCCCCTTTTCTTTTCTTTTTAGTATATGATAATCATGTTTTGTTTGTACTAATATATACCCAGAAGGAATTAATAAACCAATTTCATCCAATTCCAGCAGTTTGAAACAAAACTCTGGGTCCGTGAATGTTGTCTGCCACATTGAAGTCAGGTGACATCAGTAGCTCGTCATGTCTTTATGCCACAGATTCAACTGTGTTTGTCTGTTTTCTTTCAGCTTCAAGAGGCTGACATACTGGTCTTAGGCTCACCGAAGCCTGAAGAGATTCCCCTGACCTGGATACAGCCAGGAACGACTGTTCTCAATTGCTCCCATGACTTCCTGTCAGGTAAGTGGTTAATATTGGTGCGGGGCCACTAATTAAGATCGGTGAGGTTGACATGAGAAATGTTAACTCTCTTCGGAAGAGTGTATATTGAAATGTTGGTTTGGGGCAATGTTTGTATAGATTGAATATCCCCAGTGTCAAAATTGGAAGTTCAAAATGCTCAAAACTCCAGAACTTTTGGAAAACTGACATGAGACCACAAGTAGAAAATTCCACATGTGAGGACTAGCAGGTGGTATAGTGGGTAAGGTGCTGAACTCCCACATGGCCAACCACGGATTAAATCCCAGACCTGGTGGCTTGAATATCACTCTGGGCATGTGTGTGTGTGTGCCCAAAATCCCAGGAGGAAAATGGAGAAGGGATTGCAGTGAGGTCATCCCCTGTAGGGGAGTGATTTCTGACTTTTATTCTCATTGTCTCTGTCGGTCTCTGGCAAGTGTATGCATCTTATGGGAAAAAAGCTTAAAAAAAAAAAATTCCACATCTGGTCTTTTGTGACAGGTCACAGTTAAAACCTTGTATTTTAATCTGTTATGTGTTGCTAACAGAAATACCAGTGACTGGGTGATTCATAAAGAACAGAGGTTTATTTGACTCAGGATTCCAGTAGTTGGAAAGCTCAGAGGTATGGGAGGGTGGGGTTTCAGGCCAGTTCCAACAGGGCTGACAGAGCAGAGAGGGTGGAGAGCACATGCAGAGAAGGGGCAATCTGGGGCTGCCATCTTCATCACTACTCACTTTCCCATGAGCTAGAACTCAATCTTTCACGAGACATCTATCCATTCTTGAGACTGGTGCCCTCATGATCCAGTCACCCACTGTCCACCAGGCCTCACCACCTTCCAGCATCATCACACTGGGGACCACATTTCACAGCATGGCTCTTTGGGGGACAGACCATTATCCAAATCATAACACAGTGAAAGCTGAGTTGCTGGGAAGGGCAGGAATGGCAATCAACCTCTGTAGGGACTTCTGCTGACTCCTGAGACCCTTCCTTGGAGCCTCCAAAATACCATTAGAAACAGGGATGTTTGGGATTGTGCTGCCATTTGATGGTGTATTGCTAAGGGATCCAAGACCACCCCAGGCCTCTCTTAGGGCAGCTCAACCCCACAGCAGGGTGGCCAGCCCAGTGGGCTGATAAGAGTGGGCCCAGAGGGTCCTCTTTAGAATGCTTTTCCAGTTCACAGGAAGGCACTGGAGCACCCTGGGCACCCCAGCCTGCCCAACACACCCCCGTGTAACTTACTGTGCAGGGGGCAGTGGTGACAAGAGTCAGAGGAGTCCTCCTTCCTTGGGACCACTGGTTTTAGCCTCCACATTCCAGGGCAGAGAAGAGGGCATTGTGGAGCTGGGCTGGAGAGCAGGGGCAACTCTTTTCCCCAGAGCAGGGCAGAACGCACTCCAGTGTCCCCAAAGGCTCCGCTCCTCCTGCACTTCTACCATTACCCCAGTGAGTGCAAGATCCCGGAACCTTCTAGGCAACACTGCGGGAGAGTGAGTCCTACCAGGGGTCAGTGCTGACCCTGCCCCCTCGGGAATGTCGCTCCCCAGGAATTGACTGATCAGAGTCGACACCCGGGAACTGAGGAGGGTGGTGTGGATCGAAGAGTCCCAGGAAAGCTACTCAGGGTCTCGCCAGGGCATGGCACACTGGGCTCTTGCAATAAGAGCACACAGGAATGAATGGGGGTCAATGAAATATGAAAATGGGCTTAATTAGGCTCTATGACAGGTGGAAGGCTGATCAGCTGTGTAAAATATGTGTAGTTTCAGGACCAGCAGTTGGCGTAATGGCATGTTGCTGGACTCCCATGTAGTCAACTACGGTTCAAGTCCCGAACCCGGTGGCTTAAACTCACACCGGGCGCGTGTGCCTGCGTTCCCGAGATCCCGAGAGGAGAATAGAGCAGAAGGGATTGCCACGTGGCCATCCCCTCTGGGGGGTGATTTCTCGCTTTCTGTCTCTGTCTTTCTAGCAAGCGCATGTGCCCTATAGCAAAAACCTCTCCAAAAACACAAAAATGTAAAGTTTCTCCTTGTAACATTTTTCCCATAAAACAAACAAACAAAACCCAGTGGTTAACCCACTAGTGTTGAATATGTCAGGTTTGTTCCTTGGCTCAGAATTCCAGTTTGAGTAGGCAGTCAGGACATTTGTTTTTGTTTCTGTTTGTTTGTTTGTTTTTTTGCTATAATACTTAATTCCTGTTTTTTATTGAAGTTTATATTTAGGATAATTTTGGCATGATCCTGACTAGAGAGAGATGAGTACTTCGATGTCCTTTTGGAATCCCTTTGAAGCCTTTTAGTATATAAAAGTGAAATATTTTACTCACGACACTACCTTATTTTTTTAAGGTTTTTGTTTTGTTTTGTTTTAAGCATCCTTTGTTTTGAAGAAGATGTTCCTAAAAATATGGAAGAGGCTGAGTGTGAATTGTAGGCATGAGACCCTGTTGGGGGTGCTGATGTCTGTCTGCTGCTCTCTCTGTCTCACTCATGAAATATAAAAGTACACCTAAAAAAATAGGGTGTTAAGGCTTCAGTTTAGACAAAGATGAAAAATGCTATGCCAATTTAATGGAGGAACATTTTGGCTATTTTTAAAAAATTATTTTATTTAACTGTATTTATTTATTTATTTAAATTTGACCAGAGAATGACAGAGTGGGAGAGAACATGAATAAGCCACCAGGTCCAGGACTTGAACCGCAGTCAGCCACGTGGGAGTCCAGTGTCCTTAACCACTATGCCACCTGTCGGTCCCCCGTTTTTGCTATTTATAATACTTCGTTTCCAAATAATCCATGTTTGAATTGTAAGAACCTAGATTAGTATGGCCATTGAATCTGAGTAAATGAGAAATAATTTTCCTTCTTCATAATCTCAGCACTTCAAACAAATGAATAGACTTTTTGAAAGATTATTAGCAAGAAGAGAGCTTTTCTTTAAACCTAAGGCCAGAAGAAGAATCTTAATCAAGGTGCAACTGCATGAAGGCCGAGCTTTACAATGGAGTTTTCATTCTCACCTTAATGGCACAAGGTCCTTCCTCCTCCCCAACCCCCTCCAAAAATATATGGGCTTGGTGATTTATGGTGAGGTGTTTCTGCAGTGGCATTTTATTGAATCTTAGTCCTAGGAGAAGTTTTCCTGATGGCCGATATCCCAGAAGCCATGCTCAGAAAACAGTTATATCTAACTCATCGGGGTCTGTCAATCTACTATAGCAGAAGTCTGAAGTTTAGAATTGAAAACATATAAATTTCAATGTTCTGCTTTCTTTTTTCCTTTTTTTAGAATTATTTTATTTAACTTTATCTATTTATTTTTAATTTGACTAGAGAGGGACAGAGCAAGAGAGAGAGAGAGAGAAAGTGAGAAAGCAAGCCACCAGGTCTAGGACTCAAACCATGGTCAGCCATGTGGGAGTCCAGTGCCCCCAACCACCACACCACCTGCTGGCTCTTCAATAATCTGCTTTTTAGCTGTAAGAATAACTACATTTTAAAAAATTATTTATTTATTTATTTTTAGAGATTTTTTTGCTATAGGGCGTGTGTACTTGCTAGAGAGAAAGAGAGACAAAAAGTGAGAGATCACCCCCCATGGGGGATGGCCAAACTACAATCCCTTCTCCTTCAGTGTACCCTAGGGATCTGGGGCATACACGCACATGCACCCAGTGTGAGATTCAGGTCTTCCGGTCTGGGGCTCAAACTGCGGTCGGCCATGTGGAAGTCCAGCCACATAATCCTTACACCGTCTGCTGGTCCCTAAAAACTGTTTTTTGAAGAATTATTTATTTTATTTTATTTATTATTATTTTTAATTTGCTGTAGGACACATGCACTCACCAGAGAGAAACAGAGAAAGAGAAAGGGAAAGCGAGAAAGCAAGCCATCAGGTCCGAGACTCGAACTGCAGTTGGCCATTTGGGAGTCCAGTACCTTAACTACCACTCCACCTGCCGGCCCCAGAATAACTACATTTTTAAAAAATATTTAAAAAGAAACAAACAAACAAAGAAAACTACTTCAAATGGCAGAAATGTGCTGTGGTCATGTAATGCCCTGAATTTTTTTTTTAATAGATTTTTGCTATACAGTGTGTGTGCTCGCCAGAGAGACAGAAAGTGAGAAATCAGCACTCAGGTGATAGCCACGCCATGATCCATTCTCTCCCATTCTCCTCTTGGAATTTTGGGCATGCACCCACACACGCCTGGTGTGAGTTCAAGCCACCAGGTTCAGGACGTGAACCATGATCGACTACCTAGAAGTCTAGCGACATAACCACCTTCCATCTGCTGGTCCCCTGATTGCTTTTATAATAGGAATTAATGCAGTCTTAAAACTGGATTTGAAGCAGTTAAGACTGATAACACAGTGAATCAGAAATTCCTTCTCAGTAAACTTCATGGTGACAGAGAGCTGAGGAGGAAGTCAGTATTTCACCCTGCTGTCTGTGTAAAGGCAGGTTCTGCCTGGGGCTGTCTAAACTCTGGGCCTGGGAGCTGTCTGGGGATCAGGGTCCAACCGTGGTCCTGTCCCAAACTGCAACAGGCCTTTTCACTTCCCACTCAGCGCTCTTATTGAATTCATGCGTTCTCCAGGGACCAGTCTGTGATTCGCTTCAGAGCAGAACTTGCTGTAAGCAGGACCATTTTGTATCCCAACTATTAGGACTTAATTTACTGATGTACAAATGGAAAAAAGAGCTGGTCTTTCTCTGGGCCCAGAGTAGCATAATAACAACTTTGCGGCTCCAATTACTTCCCAGATTCCTTGAAGGCTGGCAGAATTCCACTTAGTGTGGAGTGAGGAGGACACAGGGCTGCACCCAGGACTGTACTAATGAGCTCAGCCATCCTGAGGGACCCTGGACCTCCCCTCTATGGCTTTAAAGGGAGGCAGTAAACTGTAGATAGGGCGTGGATTTTGCAGTTAGGATTCAGCTGACCCAAAGAGAAGAGTTAGTTTTTAAAAACT